CGCCGCCCCCCGCGCCCGCAGCGCGGCCTCAGGGCGGGGGCGGCGGGCGAGGGGCAGCTGAGGCGGGAGGAAAGTCTCACGCGGGGATTTAAAAAGAAATATATAAATAAATGTAAAACAGATCATTTGTATACGCCCCTTTTATATATACAAAAGAGCATACAAGCAAAGGGGTCCCAGTACCGCATCCCTACCTYGCTYGGGGCGCTGGCTGCTCCCATGTTGGAGGCTCCATGGGGAAGCACAGAGCGTGGCCGGCGAGGTGGGCGCTGATGGGGACCCCTGCCCTGGGCGAGCGGCCACCAGGCCAGGCCAGGCCAGGCTGGAGCAAGGCCCCGGGCAGCCGGGGCTTTAAACAAGGCCATCCCAACCAGGGGCAAGGCTGGAGCACCGGGGCAGGAGGCCCCGAGGTGTGATGGTGCCCTTGCGTGATGGTGCCCTTGCACGAAGTCTTCTGTAACGTCCTTGTATCAAAAATCACTCCTACCCACAAAAACAGGTCGAGAAAAGCACAGCGCGCTAGTCCCGACGTGCAGCTAAGCTCCGCTCTTTCCTTACCTTGCGTTTCTTCTTTTCCCCCCCGAACCCTTTCCAAAGCTATCTTAGCAGATGAGGGTGAGGCTTCCCCCTTTACACAGTACTGCTTGCGAGGTTTAGGGCAGTTGTCACCCGCTTCTTCAAAGCCTTGGCTGTGGAGAAAATGCAGAAGTAAAGCAGATCCCAAACCACAACGTGGTATTTTGGGATGCAAAAAGATGCATCAAGACAAGASTTTTGAAATTTATAAATCAAATGTGAATATTTGCTTTAAAAAAAAAAAAAAGGCTTTTGTTCAGAGTTAAATCTAGATTATGTTCTGGAGGCATTTCACTCCAATTTGAAAAGCAGTGTAGTGTACCAGGCACGTAATTTGCTTTACATATAGCATCTTCCCACATATGAATAGTTAGCATATATATTAATTAGGCATAAAGTTACTRCAAGCTATTCCTTTATTTGCAATTCTGAAACCAAGAGGAATTTGATTCAAATTTGGTCAGAGCATCATAAAGTAAGATTAAACCTTCCACACACAGGTTTTTAAGCACCAGCATTACAACACCCAGGAGAAACATACAGATTCTCGCACCCTATTGCAACATCTCCCAAAATACCTGCTTTGTGAATGCTCCCTGTTCTCCAGGGGACCTCTCTCGAGTTAGAAACACATATAACATACACGTATCACTGCATTTTTCACCCCGCATCCTCCTTCAGGAACGAGGACAATTCGGGGYGATTTTTAGCTACAAAAATCTCATCGCCCAGCAAGCAAAGATTTTGCCCACATGGTTAAAATGCATCAGAGTTGCAAGCAACTAAAAACAGGTCTTTGCAGTAGGAAGTATTAAGCAACTTTATAATAGGTAGGTCTAGCAGCCCCACCTATAATAGGCAACAAATGCACCTCCCTGGAACAGATAGCATTTAGATGGCTGGTGGAGTAGGAAAACAGCACCTGGCAATATTTTAAGATTTCTAGTTAGTGGAACACACAAAACAGTTTCCAGTATAAATACTTATCTTTTTYCCCCTCCTTATTAGTGCAAAAGAAGTCTTCTGTAAACTTTGGAGTTTTGAGAACATAAGGGGCTCCTAATGATTTAGGTTGAACACAGATTTAAGCACTAAAATGCTGAAACTCACATGAATTTCTCCATGCGGAACAAAGCGATTTATACCACCTGAACAAAAGGTGCAGTCATCTTTATTATTAGTCCTTTTTTTTCCTACACTGTTTGCACAAAGGCAGGAAAGAAAGTTAATTGTGACACTTCAGAAACATGAAAACCAAGTGCCATTTGACTCCAAAATTAAATACCATAGGAGTTAACCACTTGAAACTAAACCCTGCAGTCAATTGCCATATTCACATAAAACTACGATGCATACCGATGTAAGAAAAGCAAATCAAGAGCAAACAAGCAACACTAGTTTTCAGCATTATTTAACTCTAACGAGCTAGAATTCACAGCCTTCAGTGTGCTTTAGGAAGGTATACAATTTTTAATCATCACARCAGGATATACTATGAAGTAGCATTTACAAGAAACACACATTGCTGATATTTAAATTGTTCCCAATTGAACCCATAGATTTATGCCGGCATAAATAGTAATAACAGGGCAAAAGTAAACCATAAAACTGCGTCACGTTAATTTTGTGCTATTCCTGATCTCTACACTTCAGTTAAGGAGTGTGACACAGCCGCGGCGCTGCCTGGAGAGGTTTCACCAAGCAATGATGCAGGATTGGAAAGGTCCTTCAGACCCCTGTTTCTCCTAGAMGATCAAGTATTTCCATTGCTTCACTAACCTTCAAAAGAGGTTCTCATAAAAAGACCAGACAGCAAGCATTTGATCAGAAAGTGAAGTCTTTCTCATCCACACAGAGCAATTAAAATAGAAGTTGACCATGCATTTGCATTTTAATAAAAATAYACTTCCAATAGCAGAGTGCAGAATTACTGCTTTTCCTGACCCTTTCTAAAGAGAGGAAAAAAATAAGAAAAAAGGCAGCATTTTTAAAAGGCACCTCAAGTGTATAGGGTAATGCTTTTATGYCACCCCTGTGAGGAAACAAGAGAGCTGCAAACCGTAGAACGAGCTCTGATGTTCCAGGCTCGTCCAGATACTTCTCGGGACACTGCCCCAGCAGCGACGCATCCATCTTCCCTTCCTTGCCCTGCTCACTCCTTGTGTCTCCTGGGCAGGCACAAGCCATCTAGTTCCTAAAGTTACACGGTACAGTACTTCAAACTATCACTGTAGTGATGAAATACACAATTCATAAAAAAAAAAAAAAGAAAAAAAAAAAGAAATAAGGAATGCATCCCATGCACCTTACCACTCGGTTCCCTATAGGATTGACACCAGAGAAAGCACTTGGGTGAAAATAGGTGCAGTGAGCAAGGCTGCTGCCAAAGCACAGCAGTGAGCTCCACCTGCACCACTAGCTTTAACYCCCAAATTATCTAAAAGAAACCAAAGATTTTCAAGAACTAGAAAYGATGAAAAGCAGCAAGAACATAACACAGAGAAGTATAAACACTCCTCACCTTCACAGATCTTCTMATTTAAAATTAAAGAAGTAAATGTGATACAACTTAACTACCGAGAGTTGAATAACTTGTGGTGGGCAGGAAGGAGAGAAGGTAATCACAAAATATGAAAATATGAATAGCRAAAAAAAGGAGTGACTAGCTCAGCCTCATCAAGCAGGAAACATGAAAAAGACGACAGAAGAGAGAATGAACGTAGAGGTGGATGAGGACTTAAAGTATGAAATATGTCAAATGGTATTTTACTCACACACTGAACTCTTCTGTGCAATTCACATGAACAAGGAGCTTCACAGCTACCAACTTCAAACAAGGCCGGAGCGCARGTAACTGGCATCATGGTCCCTGCGCCTGCGTGACAGAGCTGCTGCAGCTGCACATCTGAAGTGGTACTAATAGTTATTTCTAAATGCCAGAAAGCTGGACAACCACAGCTGCTTCCGACTGAAAGCTGTGGAAACTGGGAGTTTTAAGTGTGGGACACTGGGAGTTTTAAGCCACCGCAACACAAGTCACCCAAGTCATTCCTGCATAAGGGAGCTCCAGATTCAAACCCACTCATCCCACTTCCAATAGACCATTCCTTCGGTACTGGAAAATCCTCAGGAGAAAAAGGACCAGGACCTCCGACAGGAACCAAGAGTGTCTCTTCCCTCAGCATCCTTTTCCTGTAGTGTTCTGGACATTGAGATTTCCGCTGAGCTCAGAAAGTCTGTGCCCCTTACCCTGCTGTGACACTCTGCCTTGCCCAGGTCGCATGCACAGTTATGTAGCTGCCTCCTTACTGGTACCGCCGTACACACACAGGGCAACTTTCACAGGCAGGACAAGTCAAGGACCCCGCAAAGCTGTAAACAGAGTGAAATTAGCTTTAAAAGCTTAAGAAAGTACCTACACTGAATGATTTGCTTCACTAGGCATTTACATTTGACTCCAACTTGCATGCTATTAAATCACTCTGGGACAGAAGAAAAGCATGAGCTTTATAACCCAGCGTTGCTGGCCGCCACTCTGGGGGCAGAGGTGGCAGCTCCGAGAAACAGGGCTGAGCTTTCACTGCAGGGGCCGAGATCTGCTTTTAACCATGAAAAGTCAAGGAAGGCTGACTGCAGCAAACACCTTTAATATGAATACAAAATTCACAAAGGATATACATTCAGGGGAACGTAAATGAACTCTTACAAGATACTCTGACAGATCAAGACAGATCAAGAAAAAATAAAGATGGCTCTGTCAGACCATGAATTTAATGAGGAATGATTAAAAACATTTGATTTACAGTTACATTATAGTTGTGTTAAGCACTGGAAACTTGAAGGATGTCAGCTGAAAGGCATTTGAACATACAGTACATAAATCATACAATCCACACAGTTGTAAATAACATGTTGGAAGTATTTCATTTTTCTTAACAGAACACAAAGCAATTTAACATGTGCAAATGAGGACTCCAATATAATGAATTTAAAATGTCTATGATAAAATTGACATATAGAACTTTACATTTAATAAGGACTACACTACTGATGGAGAAATTAAAAATATATATATATCTCCTCCATGTTACCCCTGTCATTGAAGTATGCTTTTCAATCAAAAAGAAAAATCATACTGGCCCTTTTTCTGCTCTCAAAATTTTATCTGTCCACAAAGATTAACTAAAGCTTTAACTTGCTCTAAGTGTACAAAGAAACATAGCATATACAGCCTCCTTCCCCTTGCTGGGAACTGGCAAACCATCATGTTGAAAGGGTTCTTGGATTATGTACACTGGTTGAAAACATTATCTTATAAAAAGGCACATACTTGTGATTTAAGGCTAGTACGGTATTTGTTTTATACAGAAAGTAAAGTTTAAAATGAAATTAGTAAATCATATGGTTGGCCTCATTCAGCAAACCATTTGGTGCAAAGCTAAACCATGTGCTTAGAAGCCTCAGACTGACAGTGATTCTTGCTTTAGTGTTTTTCTTTTCCTTTTTTTCATCTATAATGGAAAGGTAAACCGTTTTAAAAAGCATTTGCTGCAACTCCACTAGTCAATGTGCCATCTGCCACACCTGTTGCCTTTATGCAGGTACTGCACAAAGGCCTTATGTTATTAATCTGCAAAATAGTCTTTTAACTCTTTCCTTTTAAAAAGACACATGAAAATTATTAAAGATGTTTTCTCTATTCATATATAAAATATCAGATGTTGGTACAAATCATGTAAACCACCATTTGGAAATATTTTGACTGGTCACCGTGATGACCAGTAATCACAAACATAATTTGTCAGTGCAAATCTGTAATAGTTTTCTTTCCCCTCCCTCCCTCCCTCATCCCAACTACAGAAATAACCACCAACCTTTACATACAAAAGGAGTGCTCTACATTTGAAATGACAGAAATCACATTTGGTTAAATCCACCCACTTTCCCACCAAATTCAGTTTTACAGTATTATAAAAGGGGGAGAAAAAATTAAAGCTGTCTGTGCAAGAATCACTACAACAGTCCTTTAACCCCAAACCTTAATTCTTATTAGATTTACTGATTTTTTCTGTTAACATTGGGTCCTCTTCTCCATCTGGTTACTGTTCTTCAAGCCAGGATGGAGCATCTGCCCCAGGAGTTTTCAATTTGATGTGGAACTGTTTAAGTGTCTGTTCGAGCTGCTTCTGATTCCCGGCAAAGTAGGCTGCGATGGCATTGTGGAACAGAACCAGCTGATTGTGCAACACCTTAACCTGCAGGCAAGCACAGAGACACGTGAGGCAGAAGAGGCCGATACCAGCCGTGCTGCACGTTAGCTACAACAGAACCACAGGCTGCATCGGTTCGAGACGCTAAGGCTTCACACAGTTGGTTTATACCTGTTTGGAAACTTCAGGCACACACAAAATTCTGTAAATTAAAATGATTCCTAGTTGTTAAATATTAAACAATGGTAGTTTTTAAGTGTTACCAAGTATCAAAATCAGAAGTGCCGCCCTTTCTTGCAGCTGGGCACCAAACCTCCATTCACTGCACACACTGGTGGGTCAAATCAGCTTCCCCAGGACGGCACAGAGGGCGAGCGCGTTATCTGAGCATGCAGGCCCTTGGTTTGCCCCCGCAGAGAGCTGCCCTTTCCCAGCGTTTGCTCAGTGTCAGGAAGGGGGGTTCAGCCCCGGCGACYGGACTCACTCTCAGGGAGCGCGTGCCGGCGGCAGGGCCGGCGATGGCCGCCTCCGGCTCCCCCTCTCACTGGGGCTTCCCGCCACGCCGTGAGGCAGAGGCGCCTCCGGCCTGGGCTGGCCTGCGCGCCCCGCTGACCGGCCCTGTTCAAAGCGGGATTCAGGCTACCTGCTCCTCTAACACATGCCACTCAGTACAGGGGTACTTGGCCTTCGTTGAGGAACTCAAAGAAGTCTTTGAAATCGGATTTACAGCCTGCCTAGTTAGGTTTTATCCCCCTCCTTTGATGGGCGATAAGCACTACATAGCTGAGAAGGGACTCATACTGGACATGCTTTTGACAGCACACAAGTGTAATATACTTTTCTTTGACGCATTTCCCAATTAGCCTCCAAATAACTTCATAGGAATCCAACTCTAGCACCGAACAAAAATGAAAACCGGGCAAGAGCAGCAGCACAGATTTCTGAAAACATGTGTCCCATGCTTAACTTCATAAACATGTCTTAAGTTATGAGACTTTTAAATGAGAACAGAATCCCACAGTATAATGAATGGGGAACTCCAAGCACACAGAGGTTCTCACGTGTACACATTATGGATGTATTTGTACATAAAGAAGCTTTAGCACTAAGAACTCCAATCTGTTTTTATGAGTAGCCAATGATTTGTTTACTGAATGCTCATCTTATGAATTTTTTCCTATAAAATAACAACTTAACACACTTTCGCATCCTGCTGAAGTGATAAGCTCTCTTTGGTGACTCACTTCTAGTCTAAGTTGTTTTGACAATTTGAAATCTAGTACTACCATGTTTTCTCCTCTAATATTTCATTTAATATAATTTAACACATACCAAAAGAATAGGCCTCCTACCACCCATCCCTAATTAAAACCTGAAAAATGGCAGGTTCTTCAACTAGAAGACTTTCTAAGACAAAAGTCCTCATGAAGCAAAAGGTGAGCAGTGCTAGAAAGCAGTCTAGAGTGCACATCGTATCTTGATATTGAAATCAGACAATGAAAAACAGACATTTTAACATTTAGGAGAAAAATGTACAATAGTTTAGAATGTAACTAAATATGTTTATTCACAGTTCAGGGTAGATTCTCAGTCATGAAAGATGCCTTATTCTCACTTTGTATGAATACATGTGAATATGTATTTATATAAAGTTAATTATATATAAATGTGTGTTATCCCAAAGGTTGTACCAGGTCATTCAAGCAAAAATGACAGTGCAAGAGGAAGGACTTGCTTTTAAAAATGTAAAGCACAAGAAAAGCAGAACTACTTTTCAGGTAACTCCTTTCATCAGATATCAACAATATTTCAGACAGCTCAAGACAGGACTTCTACACAGATGTACACTCCCTATTTTAGTGTATTTTAAAAATATTAAAAATTATTCATATTTCTTATAGGAAGATATAGCAAGATTAATTAAATCACCCTCACAACTTTAGTTCATCAATTTGCAACCAAATTTGCTATTAGGACAGCTTTTCAAAGTAAAGTTCTGTGATTTTCTCAGAAGTCTTCTGTAAATTTTATAAATTCCCTCAGTCAAACACGTACATGCTTTGAAAAAAATTCATACGATTTGCTCCAAAACTGTTTTGTTTTAAATTACTACATTTTATAAAAATCTATCCCCAAGCGCTGCATAGATTCAAGATACTACTTCTGTCCTCCTCCTTCAAGGACCATTTTCCTCAGTGAATCCCAGAAGCAAGTGCGGGACCTTCTTATTCTGAGCTTCAGACAATTTTAAGATTAAATTTCCCATTAAGACTACTTAACCTGTCTGACATTGTACTAAGAGAAATGAGAAATCCTACTTAAGCTTCTCCTATGAGCTCTGCTATGAGAAGCAGGCAGCTAAAAGATGAGAAGGGAGAAGCAACAACAACTCAAATCACATGACATCTACTGCAAAATAAAAGCAGTGATCGCAGCTAGAAATAGGATTACAAATATTCACTAAAAGCCAACTTCCTAGCTAACCAGTTTTCCTGTCAAAAAAATCTTATCCTTGCCTGCTTCYGTATCCAGCCATCGATTCCTACTTCTACACTACGTTTCACCTTAGACTTGTGGTGGCAAAACAGGCAGTTAGGCAGTCGGCTGGATCAGGGAACAGATCTAGATTAAAACCAACCTGACAACAACATATTTGCTTTAACCTGGATCAGTTCCCTGATCTGATTCTCTGCACAGCTGCAAAAACACTTTTGCAAACACAATGGAGAAGGCAGTGTGAGGGAAGGCACACCGTAGAGGAAAAGACATCCCCTCCAACACATACATTTTTTTCCCCCTTACCAAACTAAGTCTCTTAACATCACCGTCAGACTGGCAGTAKAAGACAGAACTGTGCTGAGCTGTAGCACCTAATCCAATATATGAGTATTTGAAGATGCACCTTGCACTAGAAAAATACTCAAGCTACATTGCTAAAATGCATGTTCCAATGGATGAGTAACATGCCTATCAAAACAAGTCCCCACATTTCTCGTAGCTGACCATAATTCAAAAATACTGGACCTTACTATTGGACTAAATGTACCTATTTGCTCTCCCTGGTGAAGTGAGGAACCACTCCATAATTGTCTTGGCAAACTTGGTCTAATAAAACCAGACTCTGTAAATAAACAATAGAACTACACATGCCCTGAAGAGTTAAGTTTCATACACAGAAGATATTGTAGGTTGGCTCTAAGTTTTCAAGTTTCTTCTGGATATTCTAAGATGATCTCTATGCACACTGTCTTCCCTATCCCCACACATGGTATTTTCTGCAAAATTAGGTACAGAAATTAAGTGCATGCTTCCTTGAATTCTTCATATTCAGCATAGACTACTTCAGTGCTAGCACTAAAAGGACTGCTTCCATCTTCTTCCTGGCAACCTGTACCTCCTCACAGCTATCACAAATCTTTCCTCCAGCAATTTTTGTTTGAAGTTACCTGATGTAGTTGCCCTATCTGCATTTCCATTAGATTTACAAAGTTAGATAATGCTCAAAGCAAGCATTTGAACAACAAACTCCTGAGGTACAACTCATAAGTATATGAAATAATACAGAATACCTGACATTTCTCAAGGGCATAAATGAGCAACGGCTTTCTTTTGCATTTCTTTTGCATGTGATGCATTAAGAAGGCATTTTCAGTTATTTTTTTTTCCAGTGGTAGAAATCTTGAAGCTAAAAGCAGGCCACTATCTTTACAGAGGGAAGAAAAAAAATAAAGAACTTGTAACTATTTATAAACTACAGCTTCTGATTGCAGCGCTTCTCAGACTTGCTGTCCAACACCACATCCATCCTCTGGAGAACTCGGCCAGCTGAAGACAGCACCAACACAGCCCGGCAGCATCCAACAGCACTGCACAACAGAAGCAATATGAGCCCAAATCAAATTAAAAGCTCAGAGCTGGCCCATTTCTAAGGATATCCTCTCTATTTCCCTGCACCTTCACTCTTCCTAGAACTAAAACAACACTATGGCTTTGCATGTCATGCTTAGAGTTCTTCTATAATAAACGTCAGCAATTCAGCATTTGTTTCAAAATTAAACATTACAGAGAAAGGAAACRGGATCCTGGGTACCTTGGTTTCTCAGAGAAACTTTCAGCCGCAGCTCCACTGTACCACTGTACTGAACTTCCCTGGACAATTAATGAATTGCTAACATGTGAACCCGGCATATCAGACACAGACACRGCAACCACACAACTTTCCCCTCCTCTCAACCTGGGCCTGGATAGCTTGTGGCACTGTATGACATATACAGCAAGATAGACATAAAGCACACAAGCCAGTTAAACTGGATTTATAGTTCCTTTGCAGTKACAGACAGAACACACCTCCCAGGCTTCCCCACTCTCCTCAGCTGCCATGGTTCACCAAATATAGGGCAATACTTTTGAGAGGAAACACACTGGAGTACACCCAGTRGAGCTAAATTTACTAGAAACATGTAGCATTCTTGATCCTGTTTTGACATTAATTCAACAAATACCATACTAGTCCCTGTATCAATATATAAAAGTCTAAGCCCAGAGGGCTTACTGGTAGTCACAATTTTCTTCTGTAGAGGRTAACATTTTCTTACCTAAAAAGGCTTTGCAAGGGAGATTCAGCACAAGCATTAGTCCCTGTCTGGATTCAGCACTGTAGCAACAYGCATCAATATAGCTGGTGCTCAGAGATCGATGAGTCTAAGGAYAGCCTAATTTGAGTATGTTAAGGCCCAGCTTTGCTTGACACAGCTACCCCCATACTGTCCTTTGCGTTGCCTGCAACAAGCCTGCAACAATACGGCTTTTCCAACAGTGGAAAGCAGGCTACAAAGGTGGTCTTGAATCACTTGGCAAAACATTATTTTGTCAATGCAATCTTTATTTTCATCTCCTTTACACGGCACCACCRCACATTTGTTCCTTGGGATGGACACACACACACACTAGTACCTGTTACCATGCAGCATATCTAGGTGAAACATCCTCCTYGGGATTACTGCAATATCTCATTAGTGACACTAAAATCGTCCTTGCCCTGGGAGTGCAGCACATGTTCGCTCTGGTTTAAGCACCACCTGAACAGCACCCTGCTCCAGGAACTGACATGCCTGGGACCCCTCTGTTCACCCTGCCTTACCCACTGTGCCTTCTCTCCCCCAAGTTAGGCACACGCTGCATTTACCAAGTCTAAATTTTGATGGGTCACAGCAATTGTTATGATAAAAAGTAGAACAACCGACAATATGAAGTCTAACTGAAACAAACACACGGTAATTATCTTCTAAAATATATATAAAAAAATCCATCTGCCTTAAGGCCATCACATACTTTTTGTATGCATGTCAAATTCAAGGTAATAAATAGAAACACAACTTAATGTTTCCTAACTTATCTAAATTTAATTAAAAAATAGAAAAAGCTTTTGTGAAGCAAGCCGTAAATAAAATGTTTTCACTTCAAGACCTTAGTATTTGCATAGATGAAGTTGAACAGTTTGCAATACAAGTAGAGCAAGTGCTCGCTCTGACTGGTTTAAACTTAAGGATCGGAATTCCAGCACAAATATAAGTTGGAATGATCCAGCATTTTCTTTCAACATAGGAAACTGCATTGGTAACAAATAATGTATTAAAAGARGAAAAAAAATGAGAAGCTCAAAAGCAGAGACCGTCACTATACCTGTTTTTACCCTAACATATTTTAAAACTCAGTTCTTATGATTCATCAGCTTAAAAATAGGTATTGGTATTTAGATCACATTTCACTTCAAGAAAATGACTTAAGATGTATTTTTTCATTTGCAAATTAATGGGCTTGAAATTCAACAAGAACAATAAATGAACAAGCAAATGAAATTCAGGGAATACCAGTTTATAAATTAACTGATGATCTGAATCATCAATTCAATGAGCTAAATGCTATRTGGTCTCAGAGCCCCAGTCCCAATGCAAATATCTATATAAAGTAGCAGTGCTCAGTAACTACGGGGTTTCAGTGTTTATTATTTGGGAAATGCAAGTGCATTGAAAGTATTTCTCCACACACACACATCTCTGGTAGATTTCTTACCTCTACTGCATCTTTACTCTAAGTTGCTGATGCAACTGACTATGATTATATTATGAATGCAGAATATTCATTTTTTTATTGATTTACTTTGTCCCTATATTTTTCCCTTAAAGTAGAAAAGGCTTTCAGAGGAAGCATRGTTTGCTACTGCTGTTGCTTTGGGGTCTAGATCCTATTCCCTAATAATGTTACCTACTCACAGGTCTTACAACAGGTCAATCAATTCATGACCAAAGTGTTAATCCAYTGCTAGACATGGACAAACTGATAAACTACTAAGCTAGTCTCTACAGAAAGTTAACAATATTTTCTGAACACAAAGCAAATACAGTCAGAAGGATTATCAACGTTTCACATGCTAAGAATATGAACCATGTTCATGTCTTGACCACAATTTTTGTGCTTARGGAGAAACAATATAGAAAGACATATTTATCAACAAAAGTACAGTTTAAACACACATTCTGCATGATAATTTTGTTTTCTAACAGACAAAGCAAAAAGACAAAATCATTGATAAACGGGATACAGAAAAAGGCGTAGTCAGGAGGGAGGTGTTTAGAAAACAAACTCTCCCCATTCCACAATCAAGTATAAAAAACGCAGCTTACATAATTGTCAATCACACAGCTGTAGTGTTGACTACAGAAAGCTGTATCTCTCAATGAAGGTTATTTTATTTTGGAGGTTTCATTTCGAAGAAGCATCTTCTCTTTTCTTCTCATTCACTTCCTTTGTACATAYTAGCTGTGGCAATGTTGCCAAACATGTCAGTGTTACTCAGTATTGAATCAGCAGTTATGACTCAATTAATTGATGATTAAGTGTGATAAACTGCTGCGATGATGCTTTTCCACACTTGAACCCTCCCATATTACCAAGAAACTTACCTCCATCATATGTTTGCCTTTTGCAGCAGCTTAATGGGTGACTTTTGAAATTTCCTGTTCTAAAAGTTTCTCCTCCAGTGATATATCAAAAACTCAGAAAAGTTACTTGACTTTCTTTGCTTTCTCTACTTTTAAATTAAAATATATTTTAGGATCCAGTATATAAGCTACTCCTATCAAGTCAGGAACTAACAACACAATTCCTTAGCACAACATTAGAAGTTGTAGCTTACCTTATTTTCCTCCAAAAATTTCAGTTTGATTGATACGTCATTACGCATTTTGTCGTATTTCTCTTTATGCACTTGAAACAGCTGTTGTGATTGCTCAATCTTTGGCAGAGTGTTTGCATCACGAGGGCCAAGATTCAGCTCTTCGAGGTCTGTCCGATAAGCATCGTATTCAATCCTGAAAAGACAAAAAAAAGAAAATAAAGGAAAAACAGTCGAAAGACAGAGCGTCTCAAAACAGACCTCATGTACAGGGCCAATAAAAATTCAAGATGAACAAAACAGTCACATAGGTGGAACAAAAACACTATATCTTTCTCCTCCCATCCACCAAGAAAAATACCCATACATAAATTGTATAAAGCTGCCTCAGCATTATCTTCCCCTCTTAATCCCATCTCAGCCATTGGCTCCCACTCCTGCTTTATCCTGGCTTCAGAGAGCAAGAGTTTTTCCTTYGCCATCTGTGTTTATTAAGTCAGAGAAAACTCTCTATTTTTACGCCTGTTCAATCAGGTCAATAAGGAGATGATGGCAAGAGCAAGGCAAGCTCCAAGGGAAGAGTGTCTCCTYGCTGCAAGAGCGAGCAACTGCTCAACCACCAATTTCCATCCCAAGGCTCCCGCTACACGTGCTAGGCTGCTCCACAAATAGTTGTGGGATAACCTTGCTGCCCTGCCACCGGCAGAAAGATGTGGTGTTTACACTTGACTGCAAGCCTAGCTTAGGGAGGGAGCGAAGCCAGATACTCTAGATTGACACCGCCACTAAAGGAGACAGAGAGAAGACACAGGTCTAAGTGTTCCAGCCTTAGAACTGGTAAGAACTAAGAGAGCACTACCAAAGACATGTATTGTACCTTGAGTTAAGACCAAGCAAAAATTATTTAATTTACTCCTTGTTCTCTCTGCCACCAAAACCCAAGGAAATCAGAAGCCAAAGAGAAGCAAATACGAAAGTATAAGTAATTCTGTCCTCAAACACGGCCAGCAAAAATGAAAATGAAATTACGTTAATGCCTCTTGCCTACAGATACCTGACATCATTCTAATTGATCTATATAGCCCTCACATCCTACCATTAGGGAAAAAAATAAAATAGGCTTCATTGATAAAACAATTCAATCTAATATAGAAGGTCATTTCAATATGAACCAGTCACATCTGCTGTTTCCAGGAGGAGTGAGGGAAATCAAATTTTTCCCTCCATTACACGGAAATAAATCTTCATTTTATATTTTCTAAAATACTTAAGTCATTTCCAGTCTTACTCTCAAATAGCTTTTAAAGAAAACATTTCTAGTTGCTACCTACCAAAAAACATACAGAGCGTATTCAAGTGGGAGAAGTGCCTAAGGAATGATGGTAAAGATGATATTGCTGAATTCAGCACTCGTACCTTCTACTTCCCAGTATTACGTACAAGTCTAGTGAACTCTGAAACCTTGCCGGATATTAATGTATTTTTATTACTTAAGGAAAAAAAGGCAAGAAGATGAAACAGTGAGACAGAAATACAATGACAGCCTCGAACAGCGTTTCCTCAGAGCAGCTCATGCTGCTTTGCACTTGGTCGAGCAAAGCACCACTCGCCAGCCAGGGATCACTGCAGGGTTGTGGGAGTCCTGGCCAAATCCTCACTCTTCCTCCCGTACATCTCTGCAGTTTGAAAGCAAAGGAGGCTGCCCTTTCAGCATTCGACAAACCAAATTAAAATATAAATAGTAGTAAGAGAGCCATTTGGATCATAAGGTGGAATAGGCAAAATGACTAAGTGAARAGCCTTTATATTCCATTCCAGATTGAAAAGGCAAGGTACATGTTTCTTATACTGGAAGCCAAAAGAACCTATTTCAAGGGGGAAGAAGGGTGCAACTCAGAAGGACTGGCAACAACTCTCCAGAGATGCACTTTGCATGCATTCCCAATGGACCAGGTGGAAAAAGTGTACTGACTTGGCAGCTTTGAGAGGCATTTGTACATTAAAGCAATACCTTAYGGCCTGGTAAATTTTGCCTTTCCACCACGTATCAAAATATCAAGACAACAGCTTAAGAGTCATTTGCTTACAAATGAAGCGCTATAATAAAAACAGAACAAAAACCATAGAGGAGAACAACACAAGTCACTTGCATCTTTTGGTCTAAAAAAAAAGAATTAAGAAACTATCCTTTGGGAAAATTATGACAAAATTCGTATACAATTAAAAGGGACTGAATGTCAGAATGGAAGCAGTAACAAAAAGGATTTCAAGTCTAAACATAAGTAGGAGCGAACCTGGTTTAGGAACACTTTGCATAAATCCTGACTAAAATATTCTTCTCCAGGACACTCAACCCATACAAGATACTCTTCAGTCACTAGAAAACTTATTTTTGGTCCTCCTTGGCACAAACTAGATCTGCAACTTCTACATAAAAAACAAAGTGCACGGATTAGTATTTTATACAGAGACAGCTTCACTTATTACAATATTGCTAGGTAAAAGGCTTCCTTGCACTGCTTTTTTTTTTTTTTTTTTTTTAGCAAGCAAAAGGGAAAAAAAGAGACAAACCTAAAAAGCTACCAAGTAAGATCAAGTCTACAATGCAAAACCTAAAAAACATTTTCAAAGCACATGGAATGAGACAGTTAACTGTAAATCATTATTATGTGAAGTCTGCATTTTTTCCACAGGGATTTTATCAAGCTATTAGCTATTCAAAAACAAGGAAAAAATGAAAAAAGGGTAACCTTTCATTTCTTGTAGATGAGCATGTAAAAAAAATAGCTAGAGACAGAATAGCTACCTGGCACTTTCATATTGTTTCACAGTCAATAACGTGTCCTCAATTGTTTTATTCACCAATGTATTCACACTGGCAATAAAGAAGTTAATAGCCCCAAGAAGAGTTTCTCCATTTTTAGCTAGAAGTTTCTGAGTATCTGCATTGTAGCCAAACTCCTCCTATAAACAAAAAAAGCAAAGGAAAAAAGAAAACAGAACAAAAACTGTAGATCATTCCAAATCATAACATTCACAGAAACTATATAAAAACACAYGACAACACAGACAAAGTTTTGTCACTTCTGCATAAACTATGACTTGAGCTATCATGACATAAGCTATCACATAAGCTATCACAGCTATGATTCAATAGATAAAACTTACATGTAATATTCAGGTCACAGCTTRTGAATTCCCCTTAGTATCACTAAAACATGGCTTCCAATTTTTATGCTACTGCACTATTAAAGCCTGTTGTTTTTTGAGCCATTTTAGCCTCAACTGAAAAACCTGAATTTCATTGGAAAGCAAGTGCTAGTCAWATCTTTACATTGTGATTCAGTACGCTTTTTACTCGCTGTCTCCCATGTGGTTGTCTAGGTAATGCTCTAATCCCAACAAAGACACTGTCACATTAAATACAGTAGTAAAATTAAACTCACAAGGGCAAACAGTATTAATTAGTTAGCATGTTTTACTCTTGCTTTCTGCCTAAGAGCAATGCGCGCCCCCCAAAAAAACCCCTCACACACACGCAATCTGTCACAGTTTAAAGCAACTGAAAAGCAGAGTAATCTAATTAATAGCAAATAAAACAAGCATGATAACAAGCATGATAGATCAACCATAAATTTGCAAAAGCAAAATGATTCCCACCATTTCCAAGGCACTTCAATCACATTTGGATATTTGTTCATGCATTTTTCTTCTTCAAAAAGAGTATAAGCACTGACCAAGGCAGAAGAGATTCTTAATGCATAGATGCCAAATGAACATTATTATTTTATGTCGTCCATATGACATCTTCACATTCCACAGATGGAGTTTTTATTGAAAAAGTTACAATTTGCGGTTGTAAAACACACAAGTCCTATCTGGAACTTGGACTTTTTAGGCTTGCACACTGCCAACAACTGACTCAGAAGTGCCGTATTCTCCCTCTTTCCTTTCATCTATCGAGAACATAAACACCAAAGCCAAATGATGTTTCTTGTTAACATTAATTCCTTCATGAGGTTAAGATTAGTGGGCAATGGTAAGGACTGAGGCCTCTAGGAAAAAAAAGAGGTGCAGAGGAAACAGAAGCAGTTTGGGGGAGAGGAAAAATGGAAGAAAACTTGCTGCAACTCTTCATGAGTAATTCACTGCTCAGACATTCCCGCAGCTTCCTTGGTGCTAAACAGCTGCTTGGGACAAAAAATGGGCAGCCTCATCACTGTGGATCCTGCTAAAATCCAAACAGTGGGTTAGACTTCAGCTGGGCTGGCTCTCTGGGACAGCCTACTTACTCTAGGGTAACTCTATCGTGACAGTGCAATAACACAAGTGCTAGAAGCGGGAGGCAACAGCAGCAGCCGGAATAGCCTTCTCAGCAGCTTTCAGCCACACATTTCCCAGCTCCTTTCCCTCCTGTAGGGAAGATGCCATTAATTTTCCAGCCACTTCAGTGACCCAGATCAGCGCAGCCCCAAGACAGCAGCAGGGCTGCAGCAGCCCTCAGCTCATGTAAACCAGTGTGCCCAGTCTGTGAGCAGAGCTGAGACGCAGGAGCCACCAAAACTYTCTTTACTACTCTATACAAAGCCACAAAGAACAGTGGACCTCTAATTCTGTCCACGTCCTCTGTGTGCACCTCTTCTGAAAAACAGAGGAAGTCCCCTCTGARTCAAGAGCTTACATTGGGTTTGCAGTCTATGCACACGTCACATAAAATGGGAATTCATCTGTCTGTATAATTAGAGCCACATGAGCCTGGAACCAGGAGGTGTCTTGGTATCCAAAAGAAAATGAGCAAAATGAGCAAAAAAGTATACCTAAGCAACAACTCTTTAAGATCGCATTTTGTTAACATACCTAAAATAAAGAATATTATCTTTAAATACTGAGCTTTGTAGCTTTTTTGTTTTGCACTTATATACATTATCCAGCTCAATATGAAGACAAGCTTTCCAGGTATTACTTGTGCACAAGTATGAGAGGCAACAACGCTATCCAGACATTCAAGAACAGGCCAAGAGATAGCCAGCAACACAGCACAGATCAAACAAAGGGAAAACACAAAGGAAAAAGAGACAAACATCAGGCAAGTCTCCAAGAGGCAAAGGTTAGATAACTTTTATTACAGCAGCAGAAACCTTTATTTAATTTCGTGAACAGCCCCATTCAATAATCTACACAAGAGATGAATGACTGAAACAGATTCCAAGGTGCTGATAGAAGCTAGAGAAACAGTATTCCCACTAGCAGTTACAAGCTATTCATGGAAAAGCATTCCTTAAAACAGGAGAAGGATGCCAGATTTAATCCCAGTTTCAGAAAAAAAAACCACCCAGCTTCAGCACATACTTCACAACAGTCAGTAAATCTTACCACAAACTATATGCCCTGTTAYTTGTGTCAAGAGTACACTGATTACTAAAAAAACTTCCAGTCCTTTTAGCTGGTGATTTAATTGCTCAGCTGCTAGAAGTGCTACATTTTCCACTGATTTCCATCTGTCAGACTGAAATATTAAAGACTTCCATATTCCACTGCAGGAGCTGGAAATCATTCCAACTATCTAACAGTTAAAGTCAGTCTGGGCAAGCATTATCCCCAGTCCCTCCCAAAAGCTCACTGGGAATAGGTAACCAGGAGAGAGAAGAAAAAAGAAAAAGAGGAATGAAGAGCTAGAAATTCAAAAATTAGTAAAAGGTTATTTCTTTTTAAATTAGTCCAAAGGTTATTTGGACTGTTTCTGCAACTATGATTTTGCAAGTCTTCAGCGTCTTCGCAGTTTTTGCTAGCATTCAGTAGCAGCGAGCTACTTCATCTCTTGAAGTACAGTATGCTCCATGGAGAAGTAAACTAACTACTATCTTCTGTATGCAGTATCTGACTTTTCTTACAGCAGATTTTTATCAGGTACAGCAAAAAGTGCAAGTGTAAAAATACATGAGGGGAGAACTCATAACAACCCAAATGCAGGTATCTAAAGAGCATCTCTCTTGATCACAGCCTCCAAGCGGCATAAAAAGACTGATTAGTTCTACCAGTTGCAAATGTCTGATTTATAAAAGAGACTTGGATACCAATGCTCAACACTTAAATCTACTCTAGAGAAACCTTTTACTCACATTCAGCATGCAGAAATGAAGTAATGGGCCCTACTCTACTTACTCCCAGGCATATTCCCCACAGGCATCCCGTAATTGTCATGAAGTAATGTTCTGGCATGCTCCCGATGGCATTTCATTAAAAGCAAAAGGAATAGCAAAAATGTGTTCCCTATACAAGTGAAAGCTGTGTCACTTCTTGAGTCCAATCTTCAATTAAAGACATATTTAGAAAGAGTTTACAACTATAATAATTTCAACCATTTCCTGTAATGAACTGAATTACATAAACTTAACACAAAGAGCATGTAACATTCAGAAAAATTAGTGGTTAACTAATATATACTCTGAAAAAGTCAATTAGACTTATGTTCATCTCTGCCATTTTATTTATTTTTTTTAACACTATAAAAGTCTTACATGAAGTTCCAATGATTTCAAACTCAGGTCAGCAAACGCATCTCCTAGTTGCCTTTGGGTATGTACCATCTGGAAGAGCTGTGTGGACAAAGTCTGGGCCAGCTTCAAGATATTTTCATATTTTTTTTTGTTATCTCTCAATATGTCTATTTGAGCTTCTAGTTCCAGATCAACTGTCCTTGAGCCACGACCCAGTTTTTCRGAGATGATCTGTCGTGTACACTGAAAAAAAAAAGTTAACTCTGAAGACTCAAATACATCCAGGACAGCACAGCATACACCCATTTTCAGCTTCAAGGGACATATAATTACACACCATTCTTTCACAATCACCCCTCCCAATATAAGTTTGCACAACAAACTGCAAAAACATCACACTCTTTAGAAGTTTATCAGGACTCAGCAAGAACRGCTGGACAAGTCTCAACTCCTACTAATATGAATATTCAAGTTAGTAAATCAAGAGCATAACTAATTGTTTCTCAAGTGAAAGAACGCTTACCTGTTTCAAGGACTGGTGGATCTCACCAAGTCTGGAGCAATTATTTACCCCACTGCTTTAAAGTTTGTTGCTGAGAGTACTATAAACTCTGCACAAAGCTACTGACTCCATGATCCTTAGGGCTTCGTCTACCAACCATACAGTTCCAGAGCTATAACCCATGTTATTTTATGGCGTTTCCATAAAGAGATCCTAAATATGTCTAGAGTTTTTCCTTTTTTGGGAGGCAAGGGGAGGAACGGGGGGGGAGTGCAGGAGGGCGTATGGGCAGCATGGGGAGTGCGTTCAGCACGGTTAAAGCCTATTAGTAAGTCTTACGGGTAAGTGCATAAAGCTGCCTTGCATTTCTTGTTGTTTGTTCACCCTTGGATAAAATAAAGCCCTTCTGCAGCAGTCGGCTCCATTTCTTCTGTCACAACTCGATTTCTGAACTGATTCATAGCTCATTAGTGTGGTGAACAGCAAAACCTGCTTTTGGTGTAGGCTGTGGGCACTTTCATCTGGCCAATGGCTCTGACGACAACTTGAGATGCTGGCACATCTCGGTTATCCATGAGAGCCTCTCTGGCAGAGATCTGAGCCCAGCTTAGCTCCCCAGCTAAGCAGCAGATGCAGGGCACAGCCTCAGAGTTTTGCTCTGTAAAGCAGGAACCATTTACTGATGTACTAAGTTACTCCAAGTCAATCTGTGGTCCCACAAGGTGAAAGACAATTAAAGATGAAGATGCGCTGGGGAAAATGGAATTTACAAGAATATTAATTTAACTGTTGAGGTAGCAACTGCTCTGAAGAGACTGAATCGAGGTGCAAATTTTCAATTTTAACAGATGAAGTGAAACCAAACCTCATTTTAAAAAAATCACATCCCCAAAACACATTACAGCAGCACTAGATTTTTTCCAGGGTCATATTGAATAATTCAAGGAATTTGGCTCAATTCAGTCTTGACTTATATCCAAAGGAGATGTACTTCTTTTAACYAGTTAGAATTTTATGTCCTTTCTAAATTTAACTGACAAAAACAAAAGCAACACTGATAGGTGAGAATAATCAGTTACCTGAGAGAATACTTAAGCTTTGTTCAATTGCGCCTAAATACAAGATGTACCTAAATACAAAGTCGAACACACTGCATTTGAACAAAAACAGAGAGAGAAGATGCCCGTGTCTATTTTCACTCTTTCTGGTTCTGAGCATACCAGTACAGATGCACAAGTTGCTGTGCAATGGGCTCTTGCAACTGGATTACAGAAGAACTGGAGGAGGGGCAACCCCTTTTGGGGGAAACCCACAGTTATTAGGAGAAGACATGGGAGAAAATAAAGAGGCAGAATAGTTGCAAAAGCAATAGATAGACTTCAGGGACAAGTCAAAAATAGTCCATTAAGATTCATGGATTGGCTAGAAGGAAGACCAGTTTTAGTTCCCTGTAATTTTCAACTGGACCTAGCAGCTTGAAATAGTAATATGAAGTAAAAGAGCAAGAAAACAAAGCAGTGGCGTCTCACTGAGAGATACTGGACAGACAGGCACAAAATGTCCCAACACTCACTTGACCACTCATTCATAGAGTATGAGTTCTGAATGCAAAAGTCAAAATATGAAGGAGTGATGCCTCCAAAAGGTGGAAAAGCTGGCTGGCATCAATGGGAACACCTGAAACTAGAAAGCTAGAATCAAAAAAAAAAAAGAGTTGATGGGCATACTCAAATCCCTAGAACTTCAATCTGAAGTAGACACACAGGTCATCAAACCTTCAGACAAGTTCGGGCCATATGTCAGGTTTATGGACAAGAATCAGCTCTTTTGCTAAGCYCAGTTTGGGAATTGACATTTCACAGGGCAAGCAGTGATTCCAAATGGTTTCCAGGGAGTAGCCTGGAGAAAAAGGGATAGACAGAGGCAGATCTGTCCTGCCTCACTGTTTGAGGACATATATTCTATGGCACTGAAGCCACGCAATGATGCAAGACTTGTTCTTCACCTGTATTCCCCGTGTAGAGCCAGCACCTCAGAACAAAATGGCACTTTTCCTCCCACACCACCCGAGGAAGATGCACACCCCTCAAGCTCTTACCATGAGCCATGAGATGAGGCTGCAGATGAGTCACATGGTAACAAACAATACCTCCATCATTACCAGAACTCAGAGGTAACAGGAACTCCAAGGAGTAAAAAAAAATCACCTTGCACAAGATTTTTTTTCTGTTTAGTCAGCATCATGAATTTGCACACCAACYGGACCATAGTCCAGAAGAGCTTGGACCAGCAGCTGACAGATCTTCACAGCTGCTACAATATTTAGATCACATAAAAGAAGATATTCTACAAGCAATTCAGTTAGACATAAAGATGCAAGCTCCTTCTGATCCTATCACAGAGAGCGGCATAAACATTTACTAGCGTGCAAGACATCCCTGCCCCATTTCCCACCCTTACTRGGCAAAAAGTCCACACTTGGATTTAAGAATAGGAGCTCTAGGCGTTCAGATTTCTGTTTTGCAAGAGATGATTTTTCCAGATTCTTCATTTCTTTATGGGTTGATGTAGATCCCACTGATACACACCTACCTGTCCACACCTCTGTTTAAGTTTCAGGCACAACAAAAAGCTACTTTTCAAAACTGGTCTTTGTTTAGAACTCCTGATAGTGATCTATTCCCTGACAACTGCTCCTCAGCTTCCTTATGACTTTGARAGTCACTTCTGGCAAATTGGTGTGGTTTGAACATCTTTTGTTTATCATCTTTTCCATTTCACCAAATTCAAATGGATTAACCTCAATGACAATGAGGTGCCACAAAAAAGCAGAACACATGCATATAAAGCAACAATTGCAACAGGAAGAAAAAGGATTCAGCCCACAATAGAATAAAAGTAAAATACTGATTAAGAAGTTTCAGAACTTGAAGGTCTTTTGCTATTTACTCAAAATCTAGTGTATAAGCTGTCAACTAAGTAAGAGTTTTAATAAGAAACATTCCTGTTGAAATCTGTACTTCCTATATGTTGGAGTAGAYAAAACCAACATTCCTTACTTTGTTAAATCAATAATACTTAATACAAACCTCTCATCATGGATTTAAAAAGGCTTACAAAGGTCATTACATTTGATCAGAAAACAAAGCTTTCTGTATACATATTCGTTTATGCTTCCTGCAATAACAGCTTATTTTCTTTCACAAGTATGCTGTAGAATACTTTACAAGCTTGAATTGAAGCAGTAGCAAAYGTTTCTAGATGCACACACGCGCGCACACACACACATATATATATTTATCTGCAAACCTTATAAGTGTTTAGGCTCCACTTTCTCACCAATTCCAACTTCTCCATTGCTGGATTCTTTACTTCATCTGCTAATACAACAGGTCCACTCTTCTGCTGAGTTCTGCCCCCTGTGTCAGACATAGAGCAAACCTTCAAGACCTTGAGGGATTTTTTTGATGTTTAAATCTGTATAGAAAGTTTGTGTAATTGTACATGCAAAAGCAGAAAAGGCTACTAGCAGCAATTAATACAARTATGTAATTAAAAAAAAATCAGGAAACAGACAAGAGTTATTTTCAAATTGATACCAAGTGCAGTGACACACTGAACCTTTCATGCAGCAATGGGCTGAATTACAAGGCTTACCTGAATGCGTGGAGTTTTTACTAATGGACCTTATAAAAAGCTTTTGGGACATGTTTATCATTTAATCTATGCTTTAAAACTCATACAGTCAAACATCCTCTTTGATTTAGCCAATTCAGAAGTCTTTTTACATCCTGTATACCATTAAATGAAAGTGATCAGCATATACAAAGCATTATCAGAGCAGAGCTTGTACAAAAAACTTACAGAAAATTCCTACCCTTTCCAGTGAATGTTATGCTTTCTAGAAAAACATTTTCAGCCATTACTATCAAAAGTTCAGCTCATTTATGCATTTCAACTTTATTGGCTCACTATATTAGGGATAATTAATTCTATAAACCACCAGCGTAAAAAKGGCAATAACGAAATTATTGCAAGGAACAACTTGAAATATCTAGAGTCACTCAGCACTTACTCATTGCCAATAACGAGAACATATTCAAGCTAGTACACCATGCTGCACAGGTTCTAACTTTTCATTTTGAAAAGTTATTCCTAGTGTTCCAAACACCCAAGACTGGCAACGCATTATGCCTTTTTAAAGAAAAAAACACATTTTAATGCATACAATTTCAGCTACTCCTGCTTCTCATATTTTGAATAATCCAGCCTGCTAAAGCCACCTTAGCCTTTCCAGACTATTTATGGAAATAAGGGCTTGGAGGAGGAGGAAAAAAAAAAAAAAAAGTCTGTTCAGATGCCTCAAGATACTCCTTTATGATGGAGCGCTCCTAAGTGCTTTACTTCTTCAAAATGCTGCGCAAACATTAAGTAATTAATCCTCTCAACACCTTTATGAGGTAACTGAATAACTTTTCTCCTTTTACATCGGAGGAAACAAAGATGTTAAGTAATTTGCCCATGGGCGCAGAATGAGTCAGTGGCAAGGCCTAGTTTGGGTGTTGTGAATTCCTAATTCCTAACCTCATACTCTGCTCTGCTGGAATATGTGACCACTTTGGCAAAAAGAATGCCAAAAGTTTTGGCTTTAACCTAAATAAGGCATTACTGTTACTCCCTTRTTTTAGCTACTGCTGTTAGTATTAATATTTGGTAGAATAGTTTTAATGCTGTAGAAGAAGCAGATAGGAAGGAAAGCAGCCATTACTTTGTGAACTGCGAAAACCCAGAAGCAAGAACCACCATAAAAAATCCCTAAGATATATTTCCAAATAAGAATAAATCAAAGTAGTAGAAGTGTGGAGGAAGGAGTTAGTACATTGTCAGCAGAGACAAGGGCGTTATCCGCTCAGTGCTGCGATACCTGTGGGAATAATTAAATCACAACCTTGTCCAGCCAGTCTGCTAGCTGCTGCATTGCTAGGAGATATAACTGATGGTTTGGGTGATGCTGAGGAACCTGAAAAGGGGACACATTTAACCATGAAAATCCATTACCTCCCATTAAAAAACAAAGTGCACTTTTACACAGCTCTTCAAAAATTCCCTTCACCAACAAACTGAAGCATTCGTGRAAAAAAGTCACTAGAATTTCTAATGGCAACTCCTTCTTTAAAGGTGCAGCTGTTCATGTGAACTACTCCAAGTTCCCTTGACTCCATCCTTCTCATTAAGTCATGATGCCAGACTTTTCATTACTCTTACAACAAACAAAAAAATCTGGCAGCTTCATCAGAAAAACATGAACTGTAGACAATTCCATATAAATATCCCATACAGCTGCTTCAACTGGAACCTGATTTTTCACCCATAATTAAATTTCATTCTGCACCGTCACTCAATGACAGCTACAATATTAAGGSATAAATTAAGCTCTGAAATCAACATTTAGATATATTTGATTAATAACTACTCCTAAACATGTGGAAAAAACACAGAAACTGCTTATCTTGAAGATCCTGAGACACTTTAGGTGTTAACATTCGTTATTTTCTTCCAAATAAAACATCAAATGCAAAGCAATAATCTTAGGACATTTTACTTCAGRTTAAGAGTGAGTTTTTCCTCCTGTTGTGAGGAGTAGTTATCTTGCTCAAAAGGCTTTTATTTTCTTCCTGCTGAGATGCCCAAAACGCATCAAGGCTGACAGTGTGCCATTAGGAAACAAACGGACCACGATTCATCAGCCACTTCCACAAAACTCTTATCAGTAACACCAGGAATGTKCCTTGAAGCAACTAAAGCAACCACCTTCTTTTGCCTTTAAAACAGCTTGCAGAGTACTAGCAACGTGGAACGACTCCAACAGAAAAGCACTTTACCATTACACAGAAAGAAGAGGCCTAAGATAATTAACTTGCTCAGTCCCGTCACAGCAACAGCTACATAAGAGCTGCCASTGGATTCATTTTGGCACTAGAGTTCAGCAGGAGGCTGCTAAAGGCCTAAGAGGCTGAACAGCTTCAGCAAGGGAGCTAAGATAAGCAGTTAAAAAGAAAAAAAAAAAAAAGTCCTTATCGCTCGATACAGGATTAATGCAGCCCTATGCACACCCCATTATTCAACCCTCCCAGGTAAAGGAAACCCTTCCCTTCCAATTTTCTGTCTGCTTTGCATTCAGAAATTAAGTTTTAACAAGGAAACACAACCAGAAATTAAGAGTTTGTTTTGTTTGACTTTTTTTTTAAACAGGGCTCTCATTTTCTTTTCAACTCTATAAAACTGCCTGCAGTTTTATAGAGTTGAAGTTTTTATAGCTTCTCGCCCTTTTGGCTAGAGGATTAGAAATAATTCAAAAGTAAAACAAGACAAGAAAGTATCCTTGCAAGAAAACCAACCTAGTGGAAGAGTTATAGTACATACAATGCTCATAACACACAGATGATTATAGCACATTTAGATTTCACATATATTAGTATTGTTTGAAACACACCCTAGACACCTTTTTTTCTTCTGAACTAAATCTACCCAACACAGCTGCAGAGCTACGCTGTGAATCCAAAATAGAAAGACTGAGTACATAGTTTTCCATGTGCCTTTTTTTTACTGCTAGCTGTATTTCAATGACTTATGGTAGAAAACATGGTATTAGCTTTGTAATATATGTAAAGTAGAGCATGCAAATCATTGTTTTCACAGGCACGACACTTTACAAAACAGGAAATGAAGCAAAATGTAAATTAAATCTACAACCATAAAGACAYTCATTTTCACTCAGGTCATTTGAGATCACTGCAAACCTTTCAAATTCCTGATTTTGTCTAGAAGAAATAATTAACATAATGACTTATGAAAGCCTCACTTTCTCATCCTGTGTCGTGACACTCCATCGTTTTGAGATGGAATACACAGATATTACTTGTTTATCACTTTGTATTTCCTGATGTTTAAATCAGTTTATAGTCTTTAAAAAACACACATTCTGAAGACTTGCATTGCATATTAAATATTGACTAAAATCTTTCTGGTACAAGCAACTGAAAGTCTGCTCAAAAAGATGYAACAGACCTCTTTTCATTATATACTACCCAAAGCATTATCATGCCCAACCAAATACATATACAGCACAATAAAAAAGGAGAAACAAGTTTCAGGAGCAACAAAGGTGAACTTTACCAGTTTATCTGTTTCAGCTAAACTAACTGTATATCATGAAATCAGTTCTCTCCAGTTACACTTTTCAGAATAGCTTCAATTTATGAACCCACCTTTAAACATTTTTTAATATAAGTAACCATGAAATCTTTCATGATTTCCAGAGGTTCAAGGTAAAGAGTTCCTTTCCTACAACTGAAAGTCAATTTAATATTGTTAACATTAATACTTTTCGCTAATCTCTTGACAGCTACAAATGTAGTATCTACTTTATTAATGTTAACAGTCCAGTTAGAGGATGAATACAGTTCTAAACACACATCTTTTTCTGCATTAACACCAAAATTCTCAAAGCAGCTACACAGCTTAATTCTTGACTATGTAAAAATGCCTAAGATTATTTTAAGAAGTAAACAAGCAATTACCATTACCTGGAAATGGTCCTGCCTCAACAACTCCCTCTTTGGTGCCATCAAAGCCATGAGATGTAATTTTGGTTTCAGAGAGTCCAAGTCCAGCTGGTAACGAACGCTTCAAGTCCTTAGAAATAGTTGAAAAAAAAGGAAGATTCATGTTAAAAAATTAACAAAAGCCAAAACAAAAATACAAGACAAAAGTGACTCTCAGATATTACAGCGTAATTTCAGCAGCTCTCAGGCAGATAGTTCAGCCTTTAGCCTGGAATGTTTCTTATGGTGTCACAGGATTCTATTGCGATGCATGAATAGTAAACATTGATCAGTGTGAAACATATTAAGTTGACTTCTGCATTTATTGCTGTATTAATACACTGTTGTGTTGATTAAATATGCTTTTATTCTCCCCAATTTACTTGCGCTGCTTCCCCAAAAAGCAGTTGACAACAGCATGGTAGCTGTTTTAAACGTGGTCAAGGCAACCATATCATTTTAATATTTTGAGACTGCAGAATGTTGTCTGCTTTTATTCCTAACACAAGTGATGTTTCCAGTTAAAACCCACAGGGGTACAAAATTATTAAAGGAGAMGGAGTTCTTTCACTCCTTATATGTGAAACAGCTGTACACTTTGCAGCTTCCTTTAGGAGATCTGTTTACGGTGTTGTTTGACATGGGAGAAGCACCCAGACAGGCAATCACAAGTGCTCTTAGAAATAATTTTGCATTTTACAGCTGGATTTACTAATATGCCTAATTTCACCAAACCAAAACCTTCACAGGAAACCAGCACAGATTACTGCTGACTATGAATTCATATACTCCATGGCACATTTCTTGTGCCATCTCTTCTTGTGCTTGTTAAGTCAGATAGACTTAACAGGAGTTAAGCTTTCAATTTTTCTACTCAAACATATACCTCTAGCATTGTGCAATATATTTAGTGCTTAAACAAAAAAAATCAAAGCAATTTGAAAACACTAATTCTTAAACTAAGAAAGGAATGAAAAGCTCCTAGGGAAATGAAAACAAAAAGGTAAAACACATTTACAAAGACTAAAGATTAAGGGTTAGAAATGGGAAAACTGGCAGGCCATGCACTTAGGTACACACGTTCAAAGATATCTATAGTTTCTTCAGTGGCAAAAAGGCATTACTGAAGTGAGAAACATTGCCATCAAGCATGTTTTTAACAGCTACATTAAAGAACTGAAACATACCTTAGTAAAAAGTCTTGCATACAAACTTTTAAAAAGATAACTTGCTGATTTATACCATGACTATAATTGTGACTGAAAAGCCAGTGATCATCAGGCCACTACCCCTTTTATTGTCTATTAACACAAAAGATACCYTTCAGTGAAAGCATATTTCTGAAGGTAAACTTCAGTTTTAGAAGCATCATTACTGCAGCTGATCGCTCTTTATCAGAAGCRCAGGTCAACAAAAAGGCCACCCAAAAACCTGTAGTAATTCCAAAAGAAACTTATTACTTTTACAAGGCAGGACAACCTGGAAGCTGGTTAASCTTAAAGTAGGGTAGAGACCCAAGGTGCCCATAACTTCCCATGCTAAAGAACACATGGCACCACCGAGGGAGATTCTGGAGTGGCCAGAAGACAACAGGAACAGCTTTCACTTTCACTCCATCAAAACATGAGCTGCTATTACACCACAAGGAAGTGAGGTGAAAAACCTCTGCTGCAATAGGTGATTCCATGTCAACTAGTAATGGCTACAGGTATCTGCAGGTATGAAAAGATCTGCTTTCAAATTTAAGCAACTTCCACTCCCTCCTTCTCTTTAAATTAGAAAYATCCCATTGTTAGAATTCCTAAAAATGGGTTCATGCATCTCAAAACCAACATTTTATTAAGTTTCATCTGCTTTAAGTACTAAACAACAGGAGTATTCTACAGTTCATTGCAATGATTATCTAGCTGAATCAGGACAGCTTTTGACATAAGCACTCTTGCTGAGATGGCAGCCTGAGCAATCCCAYCCCTGCTGCCCATGCTAATCTAATCCAGAAAGGGGAAGTTATCAAAACTGTTGKTTTTTAATGAAACCATTCAGGTTACTTTTGAGAAAAAAAATGCAATACACATTTTAAAGTTCACCCAGACTATAAGTCCCATGAAACAAAGTGGGGTGAGCAGATAAAACATCTACTCAATAAGACACCTGGCTCTGAACCATCACTTATTACCTTCAATTGACATCACCTTACCTTAATTTGACATCTAGGTGAMGCTCCCTGTCTTCACTCTACATTTTCCTTGCCCCTTGCCTTCCAGCTTTCCCACCTCACTTCACTCTTACTTCCCATGAATTAATACACTACAGTTCATCTCTGAACTAACACAAGTTTATGCTCTCACCCCATTTATTTTCACATTTGTACTTTATGATGAAGTGATAAACAACATGGATTGATGCATTTCTGCTACTTGCTTCTTCCAGCATGTCACTCTTCACTCAGAAGATATTTTATTCTGGGATCCCCTCCTCCCTCTTGACTTACTTCGTATCATATTACAGTCTACTTGTTAATAATGAGAAGGGAAGATAATTTTTCCATAATTCTTCCATAATTTTTGCTAAGACCCAATGAAGCAAACCACTTAGCAATGAACAGGGAGGCTGAACTGGTCATTTTCCTTCCATATCCTAAAAACAAATCATTTTCTGCAATTGACATCCAGAAGTGCTACAAAGTCTAACTGCCCAAATTAAAATCTAGCTATGCAAGTTACCATAGCAAAGCCTAAGAGAGATGAACTCAAAAACTTCAGGTAAAACATAAAAGACAACACTGCATTCTTTTATAAGGTAGTAAAGGACAAAAACTTACTGATCTTACCTATTTATAGAGTCTGTTAACAGACTCTGTGGCAAAACTACAACACAAGATACTGAATATTTAGATTCAACAGATACCAAAACTTTCTTAATTCTAACGTGACATAATGAAGGCTCATAGTGAAACTCATCATTTTGTGCAGACTCAGAGTTTGCTACCAGAATTATATAAAGAAATTTATACAAATGCTTTTGTCCCTATAAGACTGCAAGAAGAACCAGAAGAGTCTACATCGCAACTGAAAGGAAATAAGTAGAATGGAGAATTTCTGAGATGCAGCCATAAGAATTCCACAAAGGTTTTGTACAATAGTTTAGTATGTAACAAGTAGCTTTACAGTTGCCTGAATATCTTTACAGGCAGGCCCAGAAACCCCTTTTTTAAAAACAAAYAAACAAAGCACTTATTCCTGAGCAGTTTTAACAATACACCTGAAACATTACTGAAAGAGAATGCTAAACTTTCTCTCTCCTTTTTCCATTCCTAAATTCCCAATTCCTTCTGGGAAGGGGAGGGGAAAGAAAGAAAAAAAGAACAGGACAAGTGAAATGTCTGAAATGTCTCAGTGAAGCATGTAACCAGTGAAATTCTTGTCTGGGGAGTTTTCTTATATAACTAAAGAGAAATGTTTGATGAAAAAAATGTAGGTGCTCTCCTTCATTAGCTTAGACTAACAAACAACCAGATGAAAGTCTCTGAAAGTGAAGCTTTTTCATAAAAGAGGACATTAAGCATTTAATCCAATGACAATTGGATTGAAGCTACAGCCCTTATTAGTTAAAAAAATTCTATCATATGGGCAGGACAAAACTTGTTAAAATTCCTTAGGCATCTCTTAGCATTGCAAATGSAACAGAAGGAGAACATAAGCTGCACATTTCTGAACAAGATTTTTACAGCCGAACAAATGCTTATTTAAGCAACCTTAAATATTGCTATAATTTTTTTTYCTCCTTAATACAAGGAATCAACTGAAGATGCAGTAAGTTACACTATGCCATATTCCCACAAAAATGGGGTTAAACCTTCTGAAATGGCATTATAGCAATATTTTCTGATACTGTATACTTAATYACATTTTTCTACAGAGAATAAGCAGCCTTACTCGCTCTTTTCAGATAAAGACATTTGCATTTTGCTGTTTTTCAAAATTTAATACTTCTTATACATTAGTACATAAAAAAAGACAAATGAACATTTGAAAATAAATGAAAATTTTCATGTCTGAACTGCTTATGGGTATAGCTGGAGTCTGAGGCTAACACTACAAAGGATATGAGTTTAAAGTTTAGTTTTTTAATTAAACAATCTAAAGAGAAAGTTGTACAACTACATTTTTACTCAGTCTACCAAAACAGAGTCAAGGTTGCTCAAGTACTTATGAAAAATAGCTGTCAATGATCAAATAAAAGCACAGGACAAATCATGTTTTTTGTTTACGTCTTAATTATACTAAATCTAGATGAACAGATCCCTGTTTATAACTAAAATTATGCCCCAGCTCCTTARAAAGCATAAATGAAACAAGTATATGGGAAGTTGGGTGGACTAACAGCTGTGGTCACAGACTGCAACCAAGCACTGTGGTAAGAGTGCAATTTAAGGCAGTGAACTGATAGGAACCTTCCAGTGCCACCCTGAGAGTTTGGCATAAAGATTTTGTGGTAGGATGCATGTTGCTCTGGGTTAAAAAAAATTAACAAAAATATTGGCAAAGAAAAAAACGAGAAGGCAGAGCATTAAGCACTAGAAAACAAACATGAAGCAAGATGAATAGGTTAATATTACAATTTGAGATCACCAGATTAGTAAACAGATCTGGATGTTACTTCCAAAATAGTTTGTTTTGTTTATRGAAAGTCTTCATTAACACATTGTGAGTTTAGGTCATATATGCCGGTGTAAACTTGTACAAGACTGTAACAAATATTTGAAGTGCACTTAATCTTTATTGTTTCCAGAATATATATCATTAAAAGAATTTAAAGCTGCAATCCCAAGTAACATTCACATAAAATCCATTTTATGCACCACAACCCAAGTATCTGACATATTTTTATATTTAACGGAAGTTGCTAGCTTACTAATTATTTTGCTGACTTGAAGTTAATTATATTTTGCAAATACTTGCCTCATATTTTATACGTGGTTAGAGACAAACATTATTTGAGGTTAACACTTCAGTTCTCCGTAGACTGAACAACGGCTCTGGCCAAACCAGCCAGAGTGCAAAGTCCATTTACTAGGGCTACTAATCATGAACTGGACACACACACACACACTGTGCAAGCAATCATTATGTAAAGGAAAAAGAATTTATACACAGTAGTCAAGCCCATGCAGCATCAAGGGCATTAGATGTGGAAAAAGTTAGCCTGCTTCTCAATTTCCAGGTAAGCCCGAAGTCATTCACTTTGAAATGCATTTAGATTATTCCACCTAAACATAATTATATCTTTATCAAAGTTTGGTTTAAACTTTATTATTACAGTCTAGTTCTTACTTTTCCATCACTGGCAGACTTGTTCAGCAACAAGTACGAAGAAACATAAGCTTTCCCTCAGTGCAGTGTGCTTTCAAAACACACACATACACATGACCCATTCCACAGAAACAAAGTGCCCAGTAATGAGAAAAATATTTCTTTAATATGAGCTCTAGCATGAATCTATTTTAGTCTCATGAAGTTTTACATGGTTTTACAAGTTTTACACACTACTGTTCCAGGTACTAGCTAAGTCAAATGGTGTCAGATGATTTTTTTCAGCATGCTGCAGATATCCATACACTGAAAAAGCTGTTTTTCTCCATTTGGTATTTCAGTTGGAAAGCACAAAATATTCATCTGAAGATCCGCTTGATGTTTCACAAACAACACTGCAGGGCAAGCCACTTCAACACCATCAGCACAGAATGGTTAAACGTTATAGATTTCCTTAAAACCAAATTTTACCAGATGCCGAATAAATATAGATAATTAATTAGCTTTTATGTTTCCAACCACAGGATAAACAAAAACATATAAGCACACATATACAAAAGCAAGCAACAGCAATACACAAAAATGCAAACACTCCAACTCTATAAGCTATACGATAGCACACTCTGCTGGACAGTCAAACACAAGATGAGCTGAGTGTAAAATACATCCACGAGTGAATAAAGATGGGCACAGAAATTACTGCATAAGTATAACTTTTCAACATAATAAAGATGAGACCTTTTTGATATAGGCTATCTATACAGCATAGAGTAGAATAGCAGTAATCTCTCAATTTCAAAACAAGAAAAGTTACTCTGCTTCTGTTTTCCAAAAAATTTCAGACATGCTGTCTTCTAAGCTCACATCCCTTGTGAGCAGCTCGTCTTGAGCAACCTGATACTTCCAATAAAGAGTTATTTTCAGGATTTGAATCTCTGAATTTATAGGACTTTCAAAGTCCCAYGTTTAAAAGGTTTGAAATGAATAAAATTTTGGGATTGAAAACAGTGCATCCTCAAGGCTGGAGTCAACACTCTAAGAACGTACACGTTTAACTGTGCATTACAGAGTACATAACAGTATGTACTATTTCACATCTAGAAAAGCTTCCCAGTACWAATATACTCATGATATGAAAGGTTACTGCAATGTGCAAAGTTTGCTTCATTTAAGTATGGGATCACTAAATTATTTGCTGCAAAGGGTTCCCCCCCCCTTAAAGCTTTACTCAGAAAACATCAAAAATTAAGCTTATTTTATACAGTGTTTATTTTTCTTCTGGCAGACTATCAGACACTGTCTTGTAAACCAAACTTGCACTTTCTTTTTGAAAATGGGACAAATTTGAATGAAAAAATGAAAGTAATTGAAGCAACCGACAAAAGTTTTCCTCTAAAAAATAGTAGCAGTAATAATAAAGAAGTGATCAAACCTACATAAGCTCTAAKATTCCTAGCTCCTTTTCTCTATATATACACATACACACACATATTAAACATATAATATTACAATTATATTAGAAAGATCAATAAATTCAGTGCAGCAAGCCAGTCAGATTGAGCCAAGACTCAACTGTAGTCAGCTAAAGAAATTACTGAAACTTCATGTAAAATCTAAAATGAGTCAACTAATAAGCTGCAACTCTATARGAAATCACTTGCATGCTGTATCCTCAAGTAGAGTTTGTTCACTATTCCTGAAAATGACATTAACTTGCACTTCAAAAAAGCTCTACCAAACTGTGGCAAGTGCAGTCAAGTAACAGCACCTCCTTGGACACCAAATTCTTACCCTGTTGAAGCTGTGCTCATGGGCGTCTTCCAACTGTCCATTGCTAGTCACAGGAATTTCTGCTGCTGAATTTTTGGGAGACTCTTCAGCCATTGCCCCTTGCTGCAATGTAGAAAGAAATAGGTTCGCATTTGCCTCACTTTTACAATGAATCATCAGTATTAAAATATTTATCTACAGGTTTTATAACAGTTGGTCTTATTTCAACATCCCATTCTGTAATATTCTGATATACTAGGTCTACATTCATTCAATCAAAACAACATTCTAGGACAGCTTAGATGGAATTAAAAGATTCAAGAGCAAAAGAAATATTAAAATCTAATCTGCTGTCGTAATATTTTCATAGTTTAAAATATCAGTGAACAAGAAACTTGAGGAAAGAAATCTTTACAGCTTTAAGGCACACAGGGCTAGAGACATACTTTCCATACATGCATCCTTAGAGCAGTTTACCTATCTCAAGCTGTAAAAAAAATGTTGAGCTTGGTACGCATTGTACTAATGAGAAGCCAGAGGCATCGGAGAAGTGCAATGAGTTCAATCCTTTATTGCAAAAATAAAAATCACAGTTCCAATTTTGAAATTAGCTTGATATGTTTCTAATTAAGATTACACCATGCCACTTTTTAACTAAACTGGTAACTCATACAGTCAAGAACAGATAAGTTAAATACAGAAACAAACTTTCAGCATGATTGCAATTTAAGAGTCAGACAGCTTCAAAACACAGTAGTTTTATGAACAGCAGGAGCAGGTGTGAAACTATATCTTATGTCAAACCTAGAAGACATTTTCAGAAAAAAAATGTGTGGTATTTATGACTACCTGAAAAGGAAACAGTGCCTCAGCACTCTCCAAAATTAAAACAGAGAACCCAAGAATTTATCATCATAAAAAAGCTACCTTTTCTTAAAGAAATCAGCCCTCTCAGAAAGGTACSGCAAACTCCACAGCGTAGTTAGGTTAGTAACGAAAGTGGAGTTAACACACACATGCACAAAAGCAGTACCAATATTCATGTCTGAAATTGTCAACCAGCCTGTGGACCTGGCACAAGATACACCACTGAGGTGTATTTAATAAGAGAAGTTTTCTTCACTTTTGGAGATTATCCATATAATGCACGAGTTTTATTTTATGGCACTCGATCACTCGCAGCACCCTGAAAGCATCTTCCAGCATACTCTGCTGCTAGGATCTCCCTTTCCCAAAGCCCATACAGGCACCATCAGTGATTTACATACRTTCCTGGAGTAACTCACAGGGCACTTTCTTTTAAAGCCCTGAGGCCTTGCAAGGTTTTATTCCAACTACTGTCTGTGAACTCCAATAAACAACCTTTTAACTCCTGATTGCTTTCAAAGGTAAGTTAACAGAAGTACAGAGGCTGAGACTTTTTACCTCAATTGGTCTTCTGAAGCAGAACTCACTATTCAAACTTCAATTTTATTTGGTATCCATTCTCATAAAAGCTTTAAAAAACAAAATAAGCAAGCCATGGTGTAAAAAAAAGTAAAATGTGACATAGAAACATCTACATTTAGAAGCATCCGTTAAATACACATTTAGAAGCATCCGTTAAATACTTCCACTTGATGCAAGCTGAAGTCAGAAAAAGCAAAAAAAAAAAAAGTGAACTGCTAAATGCTGTTTCACAGCTGAGTGAACTACCTTCACTAGTCCCCTTTTACAGTCCTCACTAAGAGTCACRCAGAGCCCATCTCTCAATCACAACGTGCCCTGCTACTCATCTGGTTGCAGCTGATGGACACAGCTTTCTAGCCCTGCATGAAACCTTCTCACAAGATTTTCATTCTTCYCCCTCATCCTGTTTCTGTGGGTGGAATCAGTCCACCATGTGGTCAGACAAGGCCCAAGATGAAGTAGGCAGCAGGAGAAAGGAAGTGTAACGTCCTTTTCTGAGCAGGAGTAACTTAGTTTGGCTCAGCTGTAGCACAGCACTACAGCCTGTTTTCCAGGGAAGGGTCTAAACCATCACTGCTGCCAAGAGCAGATTCTTCTGCCACCCCATTTTTATGCCCTTTGCCACTACCACTGTGCTRTGCTTCCCTCAGCCGCAGCTCCTCCACACCTCACAACATGAGTTTGCAGAGCAAACAAGACTGCGGAAATGAGGAGGCAAAGAGAAGGTCACCTACACCCAGAAAGGGATGCAATATTCACCAATCAGCTCACCAAAACAGCTCATTCTGCTGCTGGATGCTTAGGCCTATGAAGAGAGATGATACTGAAATCAGAAGCAGCTGGGAAAGAAGGGCAGTCTTCAGACACCGCACCCTCTCTAAGATTAACCCTTAAAGGCTTAATCTAACTGTAGGCTACTGCCCTAAACAGTTTCCTTTCTCCTTATCTGATCTCTACAGGTTATGTTCTGCTACCTCACACGATCACAATACACAAACTGATATCAGAGAAAACTAACCCACCAAAACACAAAATCATATTCCTGCTACGTCAGTGAGCGTGACTGCTAAACAAGGCGTATTGCCCCTTTGGCGAGGAGAAGCTCGCAGTTGTACTGAGCTAAGCACGTAAGGAATCTGCACCCTCAGAAGAAAATCTATCAGATGTAGCCTAAAGTAAATCTAAACAAATTCTTAAATTTGTACTGACATTCCAGACATGAATGAAATAAACATTACAGAAAAAATGAAGTTAGAAGTGGAAATTTTATTTAGAGAAAGCTATTAATCCCTCAGTAACTTAATCACCGTTTCCTTAGTGCACCTCTGCTTGCATGTATCAGATTTGAAGATGTACTAAGTGTCTATGGAGCCAGCYATTCACTTTTTCATCAGAGAAAAAAACAGAAAATTTATTGCACTATTACTAGCACCGAATCTCTAATAATTACAGCATTTCTTATAGTTCTTTTCTCTAGCGCAGTCACAACATCACCTACTCTTTACCTTTCTGAAGCTGCCTCCCCAATCCATTTGCCTACCTGAATATTACTGGAACCCTTAAGCATTTTTTTCATAATTAAAAAAACACAGACTTCCCCATAATGAAGCTGCAACTGCTCCCCCAGAAGAGAAGATCCACCATTCCAGCAGCACAGTCTAGTTACACTGAGGTCACAAAAATTGCTACCTTTTAAGTACCAAGTCTTTCTACAACACTTTTGTGTCACCTATCTGCTTAAGTTTGTTCAGCTTATAAAAACCTGAACACCTCAGCACAGCAGTCAACTATGGCTGACAATCTTTTGCTATGAATTAAGTGGATTGTTCTTAATCATGTCTCAAAACCACCCTCCCCTCCTTTAAAGATCATTTCATAAAAATAAGGTCAGTGTGCTGTGAATGTCAGTGCTTGTGGCAGCCTGAAACTGCCGCTGGGACTGGCTGATCTCACACGGATAGGACCATCGCCCAGTCACCTCAGCCTCTTCTGCAGCTGGAAGGGGCTCATCAAGGGTGGTGGGTTCAGTGCCGAGTTCTGACATACCTGAAAGCAAAATAGGTTGGGCATGCATTAATTCACATGCTAGGAGCTGGACACTGCACCTGTCATATTAAAGCAAGCTTCAGGAATTAAAAAAAAAAAAAAATCTTTCACAGTTTCAGCAAAGAAAAACCTCCCTGCTTTGACAATGACCACATCTTCATTCTGAAATTAGATTAAGGCCACAGTCACGCTGTCATGCTGCAGCAACAACTCYGCTGGCCAAGCTGTCCTCACTGAAGAGGTGGCCAAACTTGAGAGGCTCTTCACTTCATCTTGATGTAGATCTCCCGCAACAACATGTTGTCATACTACCACCAGAAAGGCTGCAATTTTGTTAAGATATGAGATTTACCCAAATTTTAAATATTAAGTGAGTTTAGATGCATGCTAAGTCTCTGGAATCTAACAAACTGTCCAATCTAAGATGGACAATGAGAAGCAAAATCCCTTTAATTACTCTCAATAAAAAGATTAAAAATAAAAAAAGAATCTCAGTCACGCAGACAAAGCAAGTCAAGTCAATGTGCTGAATACATGCACAAGAAAAACATACCAGTGAGTGGTCATGTGGCTGTTTTTCAGATTTAAGCTACATTAGGTACGTAACCTAAATTTGATTTCAAAGAGCTGGGAAGGACAGGTGATACTGCAGTTCACTCATCCATTTGTGACGAGGAGACAACCAATCATTAAAAATTAAACAAGAACTGTCAGTGTTGAGCATAATCACACATGACTTCATTAAGCCCTCCACAACTCTAGGTATATTCAGCTACATAAGGCCTTAAGAGAAGAGGAAAAAAAAGGGGAAAAAAGCACTATTTATCTTGTTTTTCAACTTCCCAATAAGCAATGAAACATTTAACTACGGCAAGTAATAAAGCCAGCAGCTCACATGACTGGGGAAATAAAATAAGGAAACAAGGGCTGGGAAACCGAGCCATCTAGATCACATTGCATTAGATGACCTGTTGCTTCAGTTTGGAAAAGCAAACACATAAAACGCAAGAAACTTCTCCCCACTGAGAACAACCAATTCACAGTGGTACATTGATCTACTTGGACTTTCCTAYCTACTAATACAGAATTCCTCTCAAATTAGTTAAGAAAGTAGCAACATCTGTGATTAAGAAAGAACATGCAGCAGAGGTGGCTGCTTTTTCACATAACACAGAAACTGGTTGAAAAGATTTCTGACATTACATATTAAAAAGCAGCATTACAGATTAGAACAGAGTGTTTATCCACACAGGATAGAAATCRCAAGAAGCTAACTTGATTTCTTATTACAGTCACGGCTAAGACAATCCAAAACTCAGTTGTATGACATTATTGATTCCCAGATACATTCAGTGGTAACGATATTTAAAATTATTAAATGATATTTGAAATTATTCAATGCTATAAACAGCAAAGATATTATATCTTCTTAATAATCTCAAAAATTCTTAACCTAGAGATGACAGTCATCTTACAAATTCACACAGAATCTGTACATAAAGGCAAAAAATGCATTTTTAAAAGTCTACATTACAATCCCCACTATTTCCCTCTGCACCCTTCAGTATTTTTTTTTCCTGGAAGCTGTATGAACAGTTAAAAATACCTATGCAAGATCAATCTGATCACTTCTAAATAACAAAGTCTGAGGATCAAGAAAGGCTTTTGCAAAAAAATAATAAAATTTGTACATTTGAGTTTAAAAGGGTCCCAATGGTCTGGCTTCTATACCCAGAACTGGGATGTGAACAAATTATAAGGTCCTAGATCTATGGATGAAAACCCCCCATGGGCACTCAAAAGTTAAGCTGCTCAGATTATAGTTACAAGAAACACAACTTTTACAAAGCAAATCCATTATTTAAAGTTCAAATACAGAAATATATGCAGACACTYATATCCCAATAGTTCTGTATTTTTCAATTGCGGGTGTTAGAAAAAGGGCTACACTTCACATCAGCCTGCTCACCTTCAGTGCAGCATGAAGGCTGCACTACTGATTACTGTCTCACACAAGCAGCCACAGCTTCAGCAACCCTGAGCCACTGCTCAGCGCTCCAGCACATCCTTTGCATCAACTGCAAGTACCCATTGCCATTGAACCAAACCATTCTTTGCCCAGCCTCTAATTTCAAATCCAAGCTTTAACCTTTGACCTTGAGATTACAAGCCATCATAAGAAGGTAAATTTCACAGGAGGAAAGAGGAGGGAAGAGTTATATTTATATTTTATATGTATATATATACACACACACWMWMTATATATATATGGGAAAATAGAGGAATATGTAGAGAGGAAAAAACATATATGTATCATTGCCATAACCAAAGAAGCTTAGAATACAATCTCTACACCACTGATGAAGCAGAGACAAGAACTGAGAAGACTAAACCTATAACATGTGAGAGATTTTGTCTCAGAAGACATGAAACACAGTCCTGCGGTGTATCCACCAGCTTCCTTTTTTCTAACCCCCAATTAATATACATATAAATCTTTCTTTCCTTGTCCCAATATAGACAGCAGCCACTTAAGCAAAACTAAAGCACCTGATGATGTAAAGCAGCACCCTGAGGCCTTCTAAAGGGCTGCAGCATCCTGCAAGACCTCAGTCACATCTGGTTCCTCCTTCCATCCAAAGGTTGCTGCAAGTGTAACTGAGCTGCTGGTCTCCACTACCCTGTAAAAGAAGCTAAATGCCAAGAGCCATTGGCTGCATATTCGTGCAAATACAGAGGAGCAGAACGTTGGGGGGGGGGGGGGGAATAAAACCACAACTTTCCTTTTTATGCACTAGCTTCCAAGCGCATCCTGGGACTGAATGGACGGAATTCAGGTTTAAAGATTATGTATCTAACTTGAGAGCTACACAAAAAAAAGTTATTTCCTCTGAGAAAGAAACTACTTCAAAATAAATGATCGAAGGGCCTGTCCTGAACACAGGAGACTATCTTCTCATCTACTCTGATGTTCTCTAGTAACAACCAAGAACGTAAATTACAAGTCCATCCTCATTAAAGATATCAATCAGCAACACCAGGCGCAACACACAAGCACCAAGAGGAGCTGTTCTACTCTTCCATGTTACTTCTCTGAGTCAATACTCAGTTGTACCCCGGTTGACAAGACTGTAGAGAAGGCAGATTTATTAACACACTTGGAGAAAACAACGCAGAGATGTCCTGTGTGGAAGAAAGTGCTTGATTTATATATACCCTGACGTAAACCAAAGCCAGCAACCAAATGAGTTCTGCAATGCTGCAGCCAGTGCGGGCACAGATGGAAAACAACCATTTCACACACGTTTTCTTAATTTTGAGTTACAGCTTACTGAGAAAAACCTAGGTGTTGTCAGGACCAAGTGCTTTCTAAAGGCATTTTTGAAGCCTCCATTGCTCCCTTTCTGCTGCAAACCACGGCGCGGCCTGCTCCTGATGCTTCCACAACCCGCCAAGGGGGCGGCCGGCACCCGCCGCCTCTTCGGTGGCCGCTCGCTACAGGAACAGCGACAAGAAACAAARGCACAAAACAAAGCCGCCGCTGCCGCCACAAACAGCGCCCGCCCGACACAAAGCGGCTGCCTCGCGCTTCGCTTTTGGCACAGCTACACGTCCCCCGCGCACACACACACCGGACACACCGCCTCAGCTGCCCCTGCGACGCTCACACGGGGGCTGCGGCCGCAGGGCTCCCACCGCGCCCCAACGCTCCTAACGGCCCTAACGGCCCTAACGGCCGCGCTCACCTGGCCCTGCCGGCGCCGCTGTCCCGCCGCGGGGGGGAGGGGCAGCGCCGCGCGGGGCGGGGCGGGGCCCTCCTTCCTCCTCCGGTACCAGCGGGGCCGGAAGTGCTCGGCCGGAAGCGCGGCCGGCGCTGGGGACGCGCCGCGAGGCGGCCTCTCCCGCCCGCCGCGCCGCTCTCTATGGTAGCCGAGCCGTAACCGTGGCAACAACATCCGGGGCCGCCGCGCTTCGCCTTCCCCCGCGGCCCGCGCGTCCTCGCGCCTTCCCCGCCCGCCCGGCAGCGCGTGCCTGCGCGGCGCGTTCCGCGGCGCCGGGTTCCGGCGCCCTGGGCGGGCAGAGGCCGCCGGGGCTGCTGCCCGCAGCCCGCCCGGGGCGCAGGCAGGGGAGAACGGGAACAAACCCAGGGAAAAACACTCCGTATCGGCCAAAACGCTCAAAATCGGCCAAGCGCCGCATGYCCCCTCCGATGCAGCCACCACTGCGGCCCCTCGTTCTGCCCATCGCAGCCCGTGCGAGGGGCGCCCGTCCCCACGTGGGCACTGCCCGTGCCCTGGGCCGGCCGTGCGCCCTTGGGCGGCTCCCATGGAGCCAGCATTCCCGAGCGGAGCCAACATTCCCCAGCGGGATGTCCTGGCCCGGTGCCGCAGCGGCACTCGGCTAAATAAAGGCAGCAGCAGTTGGGACACGGTGGCAGGCGGGACACAGTGGAGGCAGTCGGGACAGGGAGGCGGCAGGTGGGACACGGCAGCAGCAGTCGGGACAAGGTGGAGGCAGTCGGGACAGGGAGGCGGCAGGTGGGACACGGCAGCAGCAGTCGGGACAAGGTGGAAGCAGTCGGGACATGGTGGAGGCAGTCGGGACACGGTGGAAGCAGTCGGGACACGGTGGAGGCAGTCGGGACATGGCGGCGGCAGGCGGGCACGGCAGCAGCATGGCACAGGCGGCAGCGCCCACGGCGCACAGGAAGAAGAGCGTCTCCATCGAGCAGAAACTCGACATCATAAGCGCCCTGGAGAGCGGCGAGGGGAAGGCCGAGGTGGCGGCCAAGTTCGGCGTCAAGAGGAACTCGCTGTGCGCCATCGTGAAGAGCAAGGAGAGGCTTCTGGAAGCCCTCGGGTCGCTGGGGTTCGACCCGCAGCGGAAGCGGCTGCGTACGGCGCTGCGCGGCGAGCTCGAGGCGGCCCTCGCGCGCTGGTGCCGCGCGGC